TCTCTCTCTCGTTCTCTGCTGTAGGTGTAAAGTGGTGAAGTGGCATGGACTCTTTTAATTACACGTGTCATTTTGTGGGTGATTTACTCATGGTTTTTTGACCAGCCAAGTGTGTTTAGCCTCTGTCACTACTCTGTCATATTAATAAAGTTGAAAAAAATCTTCTAATGAAGAAATATCAGACATTTTGTCCGTTAATTGTCCAGCATTCAATGCGCTACTTACGTTAGAGACACGCCCATTGATTAGTAAAAGTTCCCATGAATTCACTACCGTACCTTGTGTTAACTTTAAACAGCCCAACAATTAACAACTAGCATGCTACAATTACATTTCTCTACTTAAATTTTCAAAGTCTTAGGTGGACGGAGACCGAAATGCTGAATTGGTGATAAAACAGTCACAAATCAAATTAATATGCTCTAGAGTAAAGAAAGCAAATTGAAGTCGGCTTTTGGCGCCTCAGTACAGCAATAACACCTAATAGAGATCAGCATCTAATGATAGATAGATCACACAAGACATCAAAGAGCTATTGGGTTCTCAGATAATATAATGAGCTAAAAGAGTAAGTGGATAGAATGAAGGAAAGAGAAAGTTCAGAATTACATACTACCACAACTACATATATAGTGTGCACAGTAAGAGCATTTTCTACATGCAAGGGATGAGCGTCTACATGTGAAAAATTGGTCAGTAGGCTATAAAATAAGTCATAATACATTGCGTACTATATCCCACAATGCACTGTGCTCAACTTCACAAAGCACTACCGCAACAGGAAGAGACATAAAAGTGCTAATTTTATGTTATTTTTAATTGTGACAGGCCTAGCGGAGTGGCTGTTCCCACCTCAGATTACAAAAAAGAAAAGTAAAACAACTGATTCAGAACATAGCATACTGTAGGCTACATGTTTGAAATGTTTATTTCTGCATACTGATTCACTTTAAAAAAAAAACAAACAAACAGTAGGCAGTATACAGCACAAAGTAGTATGCTAGGATTCCATTCTGAACACAGTCAAGATAGAAGAGAGCATGAGGGTGAAAGACAAAAACACACATGCTTTCTTTTCACTGGTGTGAGTGACAGGTTGGCCATGCTCTCTGTATACATTAATAAATTTGAATTTGAATTTCGTCTTTGTGTGCTGAGGCTGGTCTGCTCCTCCTCTACGTACTAACAGTCTAGATAGTGGAATCTGCCGGCCGCTGACCCCTTAGCCTGATGAGTGAAGCTGTTTAGCTTGATCCTTTTGGCTTTATCTCAATGCCAACAAATTCACACAGAACCTAAAGGTCACAAGCCGCATTTATTCCCTTGTGGCTTATTTCCAGTGATATCTACACAACCCAAGTTCTTTTACACTACATGACATGATACTGATATGACACATCGTATGGCTGTACGATTTGGGGGGAAAAATCGAACTGCACTTTTTCTGATAAAAATTACGATTGCGATTTAAAATGCTATTTTTTTTCAAAGCTTCATGTTTGCTGTTCTTGTTCATAGGGTTGAGTGGTACTAGCTTGTGCAAAACTTGTGTCATGTTACTAGGGTGTTACTATGTGATTGCAAGGGGTTTTTAGTTTAGCTATGTGGTGTTCTGTGTGAAATGAGCTGAGCTTCAAGTCCCTGTGATATTCAGGTTACTTCTTCAATGCATGTACGTTTTTCCCACATTTTATCATCTGCCAGAATGAAAATTGCAAGTCCAAATGCTTAGAAAACGAACAACTCAATATGCCGTACAATTTGAGGTATCACTTATGTCTGTTCATTACCACTAAAAATATAGTCATTACATGCACAAACTCGCTCACTCAACACAGGGATGTGCGTTAATTATCAAATATGCCCCTTGGTCTCCTGCGATTCCACCACGAAACAAACAACATCCACCTTGCTCAAACAGAGATAAGCATCTGAGCGAGAATGATCTCAAATAAACGTAAATATTGCATCAGACACGGCTAGCTGCTCTCTTTTAAAGGGGCGCGGATGGGGAAATGAAAAGGGCCGGATTTGCTTTGCATCACAAAGGGTAGGCAAATAGAAAGCCCGGAGGCTGAGACAGGAGCCAGGGCTGCTCCCGGGCGCCCCCTTTAACTGCTGCTGACAGAATTAATGTTGAAATCAGACAGAAAGAGAAAGAGAGGGAGAGAGAGAGAGGTCGTCATACTGTACTTCTATTCGATAAGCTAATGTTGTTTGCTCTTCACACTTGCACACACATTAGATATCCATGTGCTCATAATGTGCTAAAACTGACAGGATTTCATTGAGTGTGGTTTGTTAGATTACTGTGAGTGATGAAAGAACACTACACTAATGTGCTGCCAACTCTTCAGCCCTGCCTGCCTTAATTTCCTGTTTGTCAAGCTTTGACAGGTACATGTTGTACCACCAACCGTCCGTATAAATGTAAACAAATAATGTCTGATCACCCACATAAACACACACTCACACACACACAAATATATGTCAGCACCAGTACTGTTCTATGGGTAAGAAAAAAATCTATCTCTTTATTATCTCAGTTGTTTCTCCTAGATTAAATGAGAAGCAAATGGAGATATTTGCATCTGTAAAGTTCTTAAAGTTGGTATGAAACTGAAAATTAACCCTATCTATTTTCTAAATGCATGTAATTTTGAACAATTTATCCATGCATGTGTTTCAATTTTAATTTTTTGGACCTTGTAATGTTTAATCAAAGACCTTCCTCCACTTTTGAGTGCAACATCCACATCTCACAATCCAATCAACAATTGATGCATAGAACCAAGTACCCACCCTACATTTTTTTCTTTTACCATAATCCGTTATACTCCGATATGACAATATGGAAGAAAACATCAGTCACTATTTCCATTTCATTTCAACTTTAATGTCTCAAACTGTGCTCAGATTATTCAAGACACCAATGATTTCAAAATGAACTCCAATATTTCTCCCAAAATCAAATCATCTGAGCATTACAGTTTACGTTTGTTTTACAGGTCAATATATTATGTCAACAGTTTTCTCATTTGCTTCTGTTGTATTTCTGAGACAGTTGAGATTTCTGCTAAAACATTCTGCAAACTCCATATAGGCTCCTAAGCAATCTAAGTGCAACACTTGAGGAACATCTGAGCTTTACATGCGCACACGTACCTGTGGTGCAGGTTGCTTGTCATTGTTTTTTGGGGACTTGTGGGCACTGCTTTGCTGTTGCTGTTGGAGAAGGATCTGTCGTGCAACTTGTAAGGCCTGGGTGAGAAAAAAGACAGACAAAAACAATGTGAGAAAACAAAAGCTCATGAACAACAGTTTCAGTAGTGTTATGTTTCTGTGATGGGGACTGACACTCCCTTGAGAACGGCTCTACTGCTTTTTGGCATCAACGATGTGATCTTTGATGCCATGTTGTTACAGCTGGGTAAGATACCGTTTTTCCTCCCTGCTTATTTTAAACAAATGCACAGCTTAATTTGGTCACATGCAATGATTATTTGCCAAAACAAACAAGTAGGTGAAAAAAAAAGCTGATAGGAAAAAGTTAACAAAAACAGTTACCACAAACAGTTAACAAAAATTATCAAATATGCCCCTTGGTCTCCTGCGATTCCACCACAAAACAAACAACATCCACCTTGCTCAAACAGAGATAAGGATCTGAGCGAGAATGATCTCAAATAAACGTAAATATTGCATCAGACACGGCTAGCTGCTCTCTTTTAAAGGGCGCGGATGGGGAAATGAAAAGGGCCGGATTTGCTCTGCATCACAAAGGGCAGGCAAATAGAAAGCCTGGAGGCTGAGACAGGAGCCAGGGCTGCTCCCGGGCGCCCCCTTTAACTGCTGCTGACAGAATTTATGTGAAAACAGAGAGAACGAGAGAAAGAGAGAGAGAGAGAGAGGACGTCATACTTACTGTACCTCTATTCAATAAGCTAATGTTGTTGTGAAAACAGAGAGAACGAGAGAAAGAGAGAAAGAGAGAGAGAGAGAGAGGACGTCATACTTACTGTACCTCTATTCAATAAGCTAATGTTGTTTGCTCTTCACACTTGCACACACATTAGATATCCATGTGCTCATAATGTGCTAAAACTGACAGGATTTCATTGAGTGTGGTTTGTTAGATTAGTGTGAGTGATGAAAGAACACTACACTAATGTGCTGCCAACTCTTCAGCCCTGCCTGCCTTAATTTCCTGTTTGTCAAGCTTTGACAGGTACATGTTGTACCACCAACCGTCCGTATAAATGTAAACAAATAATGTCTGATCACCCACATAAACACACACTCACACACACACAAATATATGTCAGCACCAGTACTGTTCTATGGGTAAGAAAAAAATCAATCTCTTTATTATCTCAGTTGTTTCTCCTAGATTAAATGAGAAGCAAATGGAGATATTTGCATCTGTAAAGTTCTTAAAGTTGGTATGAAACTGAAAATTAACCCTATCTATTTTCTAAATGCATGTAATTTTGAACAATTTATCCATGCATGTGTTTCAATTTTAATTTTTTGGACCTTGTAATGTTTAATCAAAGACCTTCCTCCACTTTTGAGTGCAACATCCACATCTCACAATCCAATCAACAATTGATGCATAGAACCAAGTACCCACCCTACATTTTTTTCTTTTACCATAATCCGTTATACTCCGATATGACAATATGGAAGAAAACATCAGTCACTATTTCCATTTCATTTCAACTTTAATGTCTCAAACTGTGCTCAGATTATTCAAGACACCAATGATTTCAAAATGAACTCCAATATTTCTCCCAAAATCAAATCATCTGAGCATTACAGTTTACGTTTGTTTTACAGGTCAATATATTATGTCAACAGTTTTCTCATTTGCTTCTGTTGTATTTCTGAGACAGTTGAGATTTCTGCTAAAACATTCTGCAAACTCCATATAGGCTCCTAAGCAATCTAAGTGCAACACTTGAGGAACATCTGAGCTTTACATGCGCACACGTACCTGTGGTGCAGGTTGCTTGTCATTGTTTTTTGGGGACTTGTGGGCACTGCTTTGCTGTTGCTGTTGGAGAAGGATCTGTCGTGCAACTTGTAAGGCCTGGGTGAGAAAAAAGACAGACAAAAACAATGTGAGAAAACAAAAGCTCATGAACAACAGTTTCAGTAGTGTTATGTTTCTGTGATGGGGACTGACACTCCCTTGAGAACGGCTCTACTGCTTTTTGGCATCAACGATGTGATCTAAATGATGCCATGTTGTTACAGCTGGGTAAGATACCGTTTTTCCTCCCTGCTTATTTTAAACAAATGCACAGCTTAATTTGGTCACATGCAATGATTATTTGCCAAAACAAACAAGTAGGTGAAAAAAAAAGCTGATAGGAAAAAGTTAACAAAAACAGTTACCACAAACAGTTAACAAAATGTTCTGAATAGCTTGAGTTGAATAGCTTACAGTTACAGGTAACAGGGAGGACACAAGCTGTTGTTTAATCTCTCTCAATATGTTCAGAATAGAATAATAGCATACTGCATACTACTGTATTCTGCATACTTTTATTTGAAGAAAATAAACAGTTCACATTATGCATTAAATATCTGCTGCATGTTGCATGTTTAATTTAGCAAATTTAGGGTTTAGTTCTCAAAAAAACATTTTTATTTTATGTTGGTACATAATACATAAAAAAGTTGAATGTGCAAATATCAGTTGCCAAAAAGAAACCAATTTTAACAAAAGATTTAACAAAAATATTTTCAGTAAACAATGTACCTGCTAGGGTAAAAATCAACTAGCTGCTACTAAATGTATTATGTATAAACAATAAATTAAATATAATTGTGTTATTAATATATCATTTTATATTATAATTTAATATCCTTTAAAATGTAATAATATAATCAAAATATTTTTTTATTCAAAATGAGTCAAAAAGAGATTTTAAATTGTGGCTGATATTGCTTCTGGTTCATTTATTACATTGGAAAGAGAAGGTCATGGAAAATGCATTGCATTGTGGGATACAGTAACCAACACAGTATACTCTGTTGCGTACTGTATGTTTTGACAAATGTATTAGATGACCTGGCTATACTATCCAGACTAAATGGTATGTATGGTAGTGTGGTATGTGGAAAGCAACCTCTCTCACTTTCTTTCTTGCTACGTTTATCTGTTTGTCTCTCTCCCCCTCCCTCCCCCGTTCATAAAGCAAATAAAAAGTTTATTAGACTTCAAAATATCTGTCAAAAGACATGGCCCTCTGAGTGGAAAACAAAATACAGTGCAGTCACATGTTTACTGGCTGGACTACTCCCTTCCCCCCCCCCCCATAAATAATCAGACATGCCATCCAGAGCAAACAAAAGCAACAGCAGTGCTGGGAAAAAAAAAGTTCTCCAGTCGAGCAAAAAAAGGCACCAATACCAAGAAAAGCAAGCAGCGTGTTCCCATAGAACAGCAGGGGCAGACTCACACCTACACCAGAGAACCATCTGAGTAAATAACCCGCTTCATTCTTTCCACCCTCATCACACCAAAAACTCCCACAATTCAACAAACAGTCGCAGGAACATCTAAAACCCTTGGGCTTCTCGGTGGGTGGAGTTCAGATTCTATTATCTGATATTAGTGACTTGTTATTAGCAACCTGATGCTATAAAGTGTTCGAGAAAGTGTGCAAAACACGTGGGTTGGCACTGAATGTGATGAATTTTACATAATTTCATGTAAAAAGAGAGGAAAAGGAGGTGGTTTTGAGAGATAGGACGGGCCTGTACAGTATTAGAGAGTAAAAGGTTACTGTCTGGTCCTGCTCTCCAAGAGCTGAATAAAGAAGCTGTGGAGATGAGAACTGAAGCGCTGGGCAAGAGAAGCCAGCTGTTTGTGTATGTGTGTGTGTGTGTGTGTGTGACCTTCTCATGCACTGGAGTTGTGGGATGACATCATGAGGCAGGAATATAATAACAGGCTACAGAGGGGCCACTTCATCATCATTATGGACAAACACACATAAGACTACACACACTTACTGCACATTAAAACTTCTAACATATATTCACCACAGAAGTAAAAAGTAATTTTCCTTCATGTTTGAGATATCCTGCAAAAATAATTTTCATCAATCAGTATTTGTCTCATTTCCAAGTAAAAACAAACAAAAAGTATCTGAAGATCCGTTAACACTTTACAATAAGGTTTAATTTGTTAACATTAGTTAACTACAATAGTTAACATGAACTAATGATGAAAAATTCTTCTACGGCATTTATTAATCTTAGTTCTATCATGACAACTCTCTGAAGATTTTAGCATGATAAAGGATATGACAATGTTAATGTATTTGGACTTGGCAGAATAGATCTGCTACGCTGCTGCTGTTGGTTATTGCTGTTGTTGTAGATTATTCCTGCTGCTGCAAAGCAAGTACAGGAACTTGCTACTGCCAATACCAATGCCAAATTTAAGACATCCCGCTGCTGCACAAATAACATATATAATAACCCGTAGCAGGTCTATACAGGTGGAGCTGGGGAAGGTGAAGGGTTTCAGAGTAACTGAAAGCATGCTGCAAAATGCTCAAGTGAATGTTAACCAGCCATTTAAATGTAAAGCAGCAAGCTCATTGGCTTCGTATGCAACATGAGCCAATCAGCTTGTACAAAGTTGTTTAACGCTGTGAATATCATCAGTTTACATTAAGGACCCATCAGCCTGCGCCATCTAGAGTTTCATGGCAGAACTTGGCATTTAATATTAATTTCAACATTTACTAATACATTATTCAAGTCAAAAGTTGTATCTGTTATTATTATGCAACGGCCTAAGCTTATATGAACAATAAACAGTTGTATTTTTTTATTAACTAACATTAAAAAAGATTATTAAATACTGTAGCAAATGTCTTAATTGTTCATGTTAACTAATTTGACCTTATAGTAAAGTTTTACTGAAGATCCTTAAATCAGATACATTTACTTGACAGTAAAACAGTTTATAGTGAATACTGAACAGTGAACACTGTGAAATATTATGGCATTTTTAGAGAACATAACTTTTCATTCACACCACTGGTGGCAACACTTTAGGGACCAATTCTCAATATTAACTAGTTGCTTATTTGCATGCATATTACTAGCATAACAGGCTGTCTATTAGTACTTATAAAGCACATATTAATGTCTTATTCTGCATGACCAGATTTGTCACGTTCGCTACTGTGAGGAGCTCGGAGACGAAGGACCGAGGAGATGAGGAGTGGAATTCAAACATATAGGTTTTAATGAACTTCCAGGGAACAAGGAAAACACACGTAGCAAGGGTAGACATATACAATTCCGGGCGAGGGAAAACAGAACGGGCTAGAACTCAAATAGGGCAGATAACGAGGGGCAGACAGGTGAGGAGGAGAACTAATAATAAGTTCTATCATGACAACTCTCTGAAGATTTTAGCATGATAAAGGATATGACAATGTTAATGTATTTGGACTTGGCAGAATAGATCTGCTACGCTGCTGCTGTTGGTTATTGCTGTTGTTGTAGATTATTCCTGCTGCTGCAAAGCAAGTACAGGAACTTGCTACTGCCAATACCAATGCCAAATTTAAGACATCCCGCTGCTGCACAAATAACATATATAATAACCCGTAGCAGGTCTATACAGGTGGAGCTGGGGAAGGTGGAGGGTTTCAGAGTAACTGAAAGCATGCTGCAAAATGCTCAAGTGAATGTTAACCAGCCATTTAAATGTAAAGCAGCAAGCTCATTGGCTTCGTATGCAACATGAGCCAATCAGCTTGTACAAAGTTGTTTAACGCTGTGAATATCATCAGTTTACATTAAGGACCCATCAGCCTGCGCCATCTAGAGTTTCATGACAGAACTTGGCATTTAATATTAATTTCAACATTTACTAATACATTATTCAAGTTAAAAGTTGTATCTGTTATTATTATGCAACGGCCTAAGCTTATATGAACAATAAACAGTTGTATTTTTTTATTAACTAACATTAAAAAAGATTATTAAATACTGTAGCAAATGTCTTAATTGTTCATGTTAACTAATTTGACCTTATAGTAAAGTTTTACTGAAGATCCTTAAATCAGATACATTTACTTGACAGTAAAACAGTTTATAGTGAATACTGAACAGTGAACACTGTGAAATATTATGGCATTTTTAGAGAATATAACTTTTCATTCACACCACTGGTGGCAACACTTTAGGGATCAGTTCTCAATATTAACTAGTTGCTTATTTGCATGCATATTACTAGCATAACAGGCTGTCTATTAGTACTTATAAAGCACATATTAATGTCTTATTCTGCATGACCAGATTTGTCACGTTCGCTACTGTGAGGAGCTCGGAGACGAGGAGTGGAATTCAAACATATAGGCTTTAATGAACTTCCAGGGAACAAGGAAAACACACGTAGCAAGGGTAGACATATACAATTCCGGACGAGGGAAAACAGAACGGGCTAGAACTCAAATAGGGCAGATAACGAGGGGCAGACAGGTGAGGAGGAGAACTAATAATAAGGAACACCTGGAACTAATAGAACTAAATGGGGACAGGAACCGGAAGGACCAAATAAGGGCAAGGAAGGCACATGGGGAGCAAAACACACACAAAACAAGGAACAGATTCTGACAATATTATGCTGAAGCTTTAAATAAGGTCTCTGATCATTTCAGTCCGAACAGTTTGTGCACCACATATCAAATTATTTTTGTTTTCCTGTCGCAATGAACACAGGCTTTGCAAAGATGCTGCTATTAAAGGATGGGGCTGTTAAAAACTATACGTGACACATCAAGCACAGAATTCTGCACTGTTACTCATTTCTCATGCAAAGGGGGCGTTTCATAAAGAATGCAGCAGCAAAAAACAGACCGTAAAATTGTAGATTAATTGTAGCAATAGAGAAAGAGTAATAAAAAACTAAAATATGATTTTATAAGTGAATCTCAGATAAAAACACACACGGAAACAATGCATAACATACCAGTGGCTCCTCTGCCCTCCAATTTCTTTGTGATTTAAATTCCAGTAATATCACAGGAAAAAAAAAACATTTCACTACCTATC